ATCATGGTAATTGTAATTCACATCCATTGAAATTCTAGTTCAACATGCTGTAGAGTGTGGGGTTGTTTCGATTTCAATTGGAGTTCAAATCAGATTCCAATGCAACATTTTGTGGAGCTTGTAGCAAATTCACATTTCATTTCCAAATAAAATTTAAATCCAAATTCATTATTCCGATCAATTGATCCGATTATTCAGATCAATCCACATTCAAATCAGTTCCAATTCCATTTAAATTCCAATTCAGATCCATTTGAATTCAATTCAAATTCAAATACAATAAAATAAAAAATCGATTCAAATTCAAATCTATTAAAATTCCAATTCAACATTTTGAGTGTGTTGTAAATTGAATTCAAATTCTAGTTCCAATAAACCCAAATTCTAATGAACTTAATTAACATTTAATAATTTTCCTGACTGTGGGATGTTTCAGCAACATTATTATTTTATATTCTAGTATTATTTAATATGAATAGATTAATTATTATTAATAGATCATAATAATACACATATAACAATAGAATGCACATATACTAATATTATTATTAATAGATAATAATACCAATTATAGGCCTAATACACATATAACAAAAAAGCACTGATTTTTTTTTTTTTTTTGACATGCAGTAATATTTTGATGTGTACCATGGTAATGTGCTGTCATACTGCTTTGTATATATAAACCCATCGTGTAGTGTAGAAATGCAAGCTGTTGTGCCCCGGACAGCAGTAACGTTACCATACTCAGCTTACCGTACTCAATGCCGCTCAGTAAGAAGATCAGTCCTATAGTGAAGAACGTCAGTCTCCTTTTGCGTCTATAGTCCATTTTTCTCTCTTTATAACTTTTCACAGCGATTTGGACCCATTTTATCGCGGCCCGTAGCACGTAATGACCAGGACACTGCCACCAATTACTGCAGCGCTGTCAGTGCTCTCTACCGCACTGCATACTGCACACTACACACGCGTACTTCCAGCACTAATGTCGCCGGATTATTAAAGACGCAGGTCCGACTCTGAACCAGCGGCGCTGTAATCTAATGCAGACCGTCAGCAGCACACAGCATGCCAGTCCTGTTCATTATCTGAACGCAGTGATTTTGACGGCAGCCGCAGGAAACGACGCGCCTTGGGGATGTGTCTGGCGTCACTTCCGGCTGTCGCTACACCGCTCGCATTTACCTTGGAGTTAAAAGTTCGACTAAACTATCAAGAAAACTATTTAAACTAAGCAGACCCGAAGACAGAGTCTTAATTTCATATTTTTCAAATATTATAAACATAGCCATAACATGAAAGACACATTACGTCTTCTACCGAGCTGTTGAACAATAAAATTAAATAGTTCTGACTGCTAAACTGATAGTCAGTGTGTTGTACTAAATATTTAGTGAAATATTGTTTAACGCCTACAATTGTAATGTAACCCACTCACCCGAAATCTGTTACTGTGTGACTTTAGCCAAAATCCAAAACCGTAGATTATATAAAATCAATTCATGGCAAATGTAAGTTTATCGATAACTTAACTTAAAACCTGGACTTGTTGTTTTCCAGCAATAAATATTAAACAAAAAAGTTATATATATATATATATATATATATTATATATGACATGTACATTTTATACTTTAAAATAAAAGTTACAATTATACAGAAGTATAAAATATATTGTATATTGTTCGTTTGGTTTTAAGACATGTATTTTCTGTTTAACAATGAAAGTTACAAATTTGTTTATTGCTGGAAAATGACAAATATGGGATTTAAAATGTATTTCGATATTTAACGATGATCAAGTATCTATGGAAGCCGGTTTCCGGCACTGAAAAGGTCCTTATTACTTTTTTCTCACAACTATTTTTTTTTTT